CTTAGAGAGTCTCTTTGTGCTGGCTGAAAAGTACAGGGGGCGAAAAACTACACTCTCCCGTGTGTGTGTGTGTGTGTGTGTGTGTGTGTGTGTGTAAATATATTTGCAGTGTTGGAATTTGGTAGCTTAAAGCAAAGCTGGCTGTGGAACTCTGGGAGTTGAAGTCCACAGGTCTTAAAGTTGCCAAGATTGGAGACCAATGGCTTAAAGAACAAAACAAAAGATCAGCTAATGCCGTACAAATGCTTTTTGGCATCCATTTCACCATGTCACATTCCTGAGCCTCCCTAAATGAGCTTTAGTCCTACTTACTTAGGGACACCTTCATCCCTAGCATACCACACAGAGCATGATGTGGCCCTTCAGCCAATGCAAGTTCCACACCCCTATTCTAGACTGCAACCACAACCCTTTTAAGAAGAAAAAGGAAGAAATGTAAAGTTAGCACTTTTATAGTGGAGCTGTTTTGAATAATATTCATGATTTGTACACTGCAAAAGAAGGACGGCTGCATCTGAAACATATTTGTTGGAAAAGAAAGCAACTGTAGGCCAATACAATACATCAAAAAGGTAGGCTAGAAAAGCTTCCTTTTGCGGGAGGGGAGGGACCTCTTAAGAGGTACTGGTAGCAAACATACCCTCAGGGCCTGCCACAAAGAAGAGGAACTATTCTCCAAAGCACCTGAAAGTAGGACAACTGGTGGAAACTAATCAAGGAAAGAAGCAACTTAGAACTAAGGAGAAATTTCCTGAACACTTACAACAATTAATCAGTGGAACAACTTGCCTCCAGAAGTTGTGAATGCTCCAACACTGGAAGTTTTTAAGAAGATGTTGGATAGCTATTTGTGTATGGTTTGCTGCCTAAGCAGGGGATTGGACTAGAAGACCTTCAAGGTCCCTTCCACCTCTGTTATTCTATATTCTATACATTAGAGTGAACAAAACTGGAAATTTCAATTAGTCACTCCTCCTGCACTCCACCGTTCCCCAATCAAGGAAATCACATACTATATTTGAAAAAGGCAAATGAATAAACCTATTTTTTTTCACCCACACAGGCTTTTTAAAAAAATGTATTCAAACAATGTTTAGACACATCTATACTGCAAGCTGAGTTAACTTGCCATTATTGGCACTCCTTTTCTTATCCGTCTGAGAGAATAAAAAATAAAACGTAATAAAACTAGACTTTCCGATTGTTTTGTAAAATAAGGATGCCTCCCATAAACTCATTTCCTCAACTTTATACTGCCTAAACTAGTTCCCCCACTTCGACAGGTGTATGCAAAGGGGACACCCAGGTTTGGCTGCACGCGTGGATTTCGCAAAGCAACCCGCCTCTCTCCTCCCTTCTGAACCCCAAACCCCGCAATTTCGGCCACCAGGCGGAGAGACCCACCCTCCAGTTCTGCTGAAATAAAGTTTCCATCTCCCCCACCCTTCTCCTCGGCTCTCCCCGCCAAGCCCGAGTTAATCGATACCAAGAGTCCAGAGTCCCAGCAAGATGTCTCTTTCTCTTTGCTCCGTCAGCCGCCGCCGCCGCCGCCGCCGCTCCCATCCCGCACAAGGCCAAACCGTGGAAAAACCCGACCCGTCCCCCAAAGCCGCGGGGATCGTTTGGCGTGGAGCTCAGAGCGCTTCTAGCTCACCTTGTGCCTGAATTCCCGGGCCAGCTTCCTTTCCATGACAAAGGGAGAGCGACCTTCCCGTGGCGCTTGCTTCGCCCAACCAGCCCCTTGGAGCGCCCACTGCGGATGCGGTTTCCTCCGGGTGCTGGAGAAGAAGAGATCAATGAGCAAAACTCTGGACCACCGCTAGAGGGCGGGGCATAGCACCGTGAGAAAAGCCGGCGGACGTCAAGGAAGGTCAAGAGGGAAAGGAGGCGTTTCCCTCGTTCGCCTCCTCCTCTGTCCTGACTTCCTTTTTCTTCCAAGCGCTCTAACTTCGCTTTAGTTTTCGTGGCTAAGAGATCAACAAACGGCAGCGTCTTTTTACGCCAGCCCTTCTCCGTTTTCCCTGTTTGTGTTGTTTAACACATGGTAACAAGTCTTTTTTCAAGGCTGAATTTCGGCCACGGGTTGATGATGCCCATCGGAACTGTGACTTGAAGGAAATTTGTATTTTTTACGTTAAAAAGCCAGGCAATAAAATTTCACAGAAACTTTTAAGGCGCACAGCGGCTATCTGAAAGTAATTTTATTTAGATGGTGAGAGTTGAACATGTGAAAGTGCAGAGTTTCTCAAAGATTTTGCATGGGTGGGGGAGGGAGAGACTTGGTTGCAGGATCTGGGGTTGGCTAGTCTAGAGAAAAGAAGAATTAGGGGTGACATGATAGCAGTATTCCAATATTTGAGGGGGTGCCACAAAGAACGGAGGGGGGGGGTTCCAAATCATTTTCCAAAGTACCAAAGAACAGGACAAGAAACAATAGTTGGACACTAATCAAAGAGAGAAGCAAGCTGGAATTAAGGAGAAACTTCCTAACAGACAATTAACAGTAGAACAGGTTGCCTTCAGAAATCAGGGTGCTTCATCACTGGAGGTTTTTAAAAAGAGACTGGAACCCACTTATCTGAAATGGTATAGGCAAGGTCAGGGGGCTGGACTAGAAGACCTCCAAGGTCCTTTCCAATTCTATTCTATTGCTTTCTATTTTCTGCTTCCTCAGCTCTACCCACGAATACAACAATCTTCAGTTGTAAGCTGATATTGGATCCATATTTTTTTTTACCTTACTGTCACATAAGCATCTTGGGTCTTCAGGATTTTTGATAGTCTTCTGATATTCTATGGTCTGTAAAAAATGTTTTAGAATGATAGAATCTGGAGGGTCCATTTGAGACTATTGACTCCAACCCTTGCTCAGTGCAGGAAGCAATTCAAAGCATCTGATGATCTAACATCACTTAACATCTCTAATATACCTTCCTCCTCAACGGAGTTATTTTTAGGTAATGTCTGACAGTATGATGGTAATGTCACACTGCACAATCAACCAAGTAAGGCAAAAAATAATATTGGCATTCCCACAACATTCTAGAAACAAATTGTACTCCAAAGGCTTCAAATATTTTCAGCCTTCCCAGAAAGCATGTTCTTAGTCCATAAAAGCCAGGGAAGTATAATCATTAAAGAACTGGGCTAGAACTAGTGAGAGAGATCCAGGTTTTAGTCTCCACTTAGTCTTAGAATTGATGAGGCAGGCTATACAAAATACTGTGCTAAAATAGCATAGCATTGGTTAGTTTGTGAATCAATATGTAGAAATCCAGCCATTGCCTGCACTGCCATTCAATTTAAAGTTTTAAGCAGCTAAAATAGATATCCTCAATTGTTTAAAATTTCTTGGCTATCCAGAATACTGAAATAGGTCAATTTGAGACCAATTCAGTTATTAGATTAAATAAAAGAAAGTGTTAGCTCTGTTTGCTATAGATAAGACTGAAATTGGGGGACAAAAGAAAAAATCTTAGAAATGGCAAACCATTTCTTATTGTTAAGAAAACTACAGGCATTTGTCCATGATATTACTAGAAATCTGACTTGAAGGAAGAGTTGGATCCTTCTAACTCTTAGACCCCTGATGGTGCAGTGGTTGAAATGCAGTATTGCAGGCTAATTCTGCTGACTGCCAGCAGTTCGATCCTGACCGGTTCAAGGTTGACTCAGCCTTCCATCCTTCCAAGGCTGGTAAAATGAGGACCCAGATTGTTGGGGGCGATATGCTGATTCTGTAAACTGCTTAGAGAGGGGTTGTAAAGCACTCTGAATCAGTATATAAGTCTAAATGCTATTGCTACTGTTTATGAAAATTCTTTTTGAGATGCTAAACTGCCTTGTAGTTAGACATACCATGTAGTTTGACATCATGGCTCATTATGTCACCCAGATCCAGCTGTAGCATTATCATTATCCCTCTTTTTAGGTTTTTGAGTTTAAAAAGCAACCTTGAAATAGTGGCAATATTGCACCAATTTAGCCACACCAGTTCCACACCAGACCTGTTGGGCAAAAAATGGCCATCTGAAGTCTATGGGAGATTTAATGAAACAATAATACCCACAGAGCAAGTGGTATCAGCCAAGGAGCTTTCTCTAGGGTCAGAAAAAATGGCTGAAATGGAGGGAAATCAAAACTAGCCATAATTAGTAACAGGACTATGAAGACTGGCACCAGATTTAATTTGGAGTTGCTTTTATGTGAATGTGCTCCATCACACTTGATGTCTCAGGTCCTGATTCAGAGAAGCTATGTATAGATTTAATATGTATTTTTTTTACAACTAACGGATCAATTGAAGAAATTAAAATTGTTTCTTTTTTAGGTAACACTTCTGTTCCAGAAAACAAAACAAGACAGTGCTTTCCTTATAGTCAGTCTGTTACTCCTTGCTCTCTCTTACCTTCTTGTTCATTAGCTGTAGAATTTATGTAAATGTTTTTCTTCCCTTCCCTGGGACTGAGAGTTTTGACTATTAAGAGAGAATGAGATAATCTAAGATTTGAAAGCAGGTCTTATCCTGCGTATCTTCCAAGGGTTGGTTACAGCAGTGTTTTTCAACCACTGTGCCGCGGCACACTAGTGTGCCGTGACATAGTGTAAGGTGTGCCGTGGGAAAAACACCTTATATAT